TGGCTGATAGTGGCTGGGCTCAGACTCTGCAAGATTCTCTCTGCCATTGCATCTCAGTCCTGACTTGCCATTCCATCGTGGGGTTACTCGTGTACCACAATCGTGGGCTACAGTGGTTGCTACTTTTCTAGTCCTACCCTCTTCTTTGCCCCACAGCTCTGTCAGTGCGCATCAGAGGTGGCTTATATCACACCATACAGTTCCAGTTCTGGGCTTACCATATGCAACCTGGCTAATCCTCTTTAAGCCTGAACTGCAGTTTTTGCCGTCCTGGATGTTTGTAGATCACAAACTGTCAAACTATGCAGTAATTCTGTGCTTTGCAAATTGGGATTAGGATGAGCAATTGCCTAACTCCTTGTGACTACAGTTGGAGTCTCTGGAAATGTGAATTCTGGTTAATTTCTTGAGCCCTTTTTATGTTCTTTCACTGAGATGGGATGGCTGATTGCCGGGCGAATGTTGGCATAGGACAGTTTGCTTTTCTTGTCAGAAATGATTCCAGCAGCTGCCTGAAATGCAATCATCAATGGCTTTGTAAATGTGGGTTTCAGTGAGTCACTGCAGAAACTACAAGAAGTACATGGGCCTACTGTCTCCCATGCTGTTTGTGACAGGGCAGCAGAAATATCTGCCTACTTCTGAAAATGTCAATACACTATTTCAAACCATTAATCCTAAACCAGACTTGGAGGTAGGATAGGAGGGAGGTGCAGTTCTGATAAAGTGAATACTTAGTTTTAATTTGCAGCAGACTTGAAAGCACATGCATAGCGATTGCTTTGAATGGAACTCTGTCAGGAGAATTTATTTAACAGTAAATCTATTCCCCCATTGGGAGCAGGATCAATGTGTAGACATAAAGTTATACACAATTATGGATTTAATTTGAAATCGGTTCTTCCCTTGCCTCTCTGACAAGACTTATGCTAGGGATTCTCTGTTTCCTTTGTAAGAGCACTTAAACCAGAGAATTTTCCTACCATCTCTGCTGTGCATTTGCTGATATAACAGGGCAAATACAGAAATAGTTGGAGAGCCTACTCTTTGGATTTGTTTTAACACGTACATTATATATTTGCATCTGCGTAGCTAATTTGTTACTGATCTTTTATATTAATTTTTTTCCCAAAGGCTCTTCAGGTCACCTTTAAAGGTAACTTACAAAAGGGAAAAAGGAAATTTACAAGATTCTGATCACATTAGTACCTGGAAGAATCTTCGGAGGAGGGGGAGTACTGTTCTATTTTAGTAGAATTACGACGTCACACTGTTCAAAGAAGTGAAATGTGATAGAACAGGGAATAGATTTTAAAACTTGATACACAAATATCTGTTTGACAATTAGGGGTATGCATAATATTGCGGGTACAGAGAGGTCTTCCGGGGGTACGTCAACTCATCATGATATTTACGTAGTTTCACAGCAGGTACATAACAAGAACTAGTGAAATGAGTACTAGGGAAGTTAAAATGTGTTTAACTGTGTAACTGCTGGAAATTTCAGCGGTTACATGCGTGGTGGCAGCTGGCTCCCCAGGAGCTGGCATGCCCAGGTAGCCGGCTTTTAAACTCGCGTCCCGTGTGTACCAACTCCCACCTGCTGCCTTGTGCTGCTGCCTCTATCATAGGCAGCAGGCAGCTTCCTGGGAGCCAATGCACGCCGGAAGCCTGCATGTAACCGTGAAGGTTAACCGATGAGCCTAGGCTCATCAACTAACCGTGTATGTGGTTACATTTTCACATCCCTCGTAAGTACAAACTAAAATTTCATAGAGATGATGCGTTTATATTGCTCTCTATGCTGAAATGTAAGCACAATATTGATATTCCAACTGATTTATTTTATAGTATAGGGTTAAAATGAGAAAGTAAGAGAATTTTCAGTAATAGGGCTGTGACGCTTTTGTGTCTATATGTCTGATTTTACAAGCAAATAGTTTGAGTGTGGTGAAACTGGTACTCAAGATACAACTCACACTCCTGAAAGGGATACAGTAGCCTGGGAAGGCTGGGAGCCACTTTATTAGAAGGCAGGTTGAGGAAGCACCCTGTCCATTTCTCTGGGCCCATCAAGGAATTCTCCCCTCCACACAGAAGGGAAGGTTTGACATACCAGAAAAAAGCAAAACAGAAGCAGAGCTTTCCATTTGAGGTGATGGTAGAGATCTCTCAGGCCTATTCTGAATATCACAAAACAGGGCATACACTCATTGTGCTCTTGTTTTCTCATCTACTCAGCCACATTCACAGATTCATCATTCACAGGACAATAAGACTGCACAATTGGGTCTGCCCTGCGCAGGCAATGTTAATGGAATTGTGTTAAAGGTCTGGTTATGTTCATTGAAACGTCATCTTTCACATTTGCAGGAAACCTGTTCAGAATTCCTTTCCACTCAGTGAGCTAGTCAGAAATCAGCTGGAAGGAGACACCCTTTTCTCTTTCCTTATGTGTGCCTAGTGCATTGAGAAGTGGCTTAGGTCTTTTAAAAATAGCATTTTGTGAGAAGCCCACTCCTGCAGCTATGGTGTAGAGGACACACCTTGTGAACTAGGGATGTAAAATCACATTTCATCAGTTAACCAGTTAAACATTATATTTAGCTGGTTAACTGTTTAAACAGGGGCGGGCAGGAGGCTGCCCCAGCCCGGCTGGGCCTCTGGTTACCTGTACCTGGTAAGCGTCACCCAGTAAGGTTGATGGTTAACCAGTAAGCATTCACATCCCTGTTGTGAACAGCAACTCATTGTGCCAGTTGGGTGCAGCTGGAATCCTACACACAACCACCCACCAGCATTTGTAGATTAGAGACGAGTGATGGGAGTGACCGAGCACTCCACGGAAAACCTGTGTCATTGGCTCTGTCTTCTAAAACAGCTTCCCCAGTGCTCAAAAATTGGAGTGCAGCGTAATGAGGAATAGGTCAGTGATCCGTTAGGAGGAGGAGCGCATGGGTTTTCCAGAGGGGTCATACTAGGCATGGTACTATTCAGTCTGCTCGTTAAAACCTTGGAGGTTGAAGCAGTCCATGCACTTATCAGATTAAAGGATGGTACAAAGTGAAAGGGTTCACAAATGCCTGGGATGATAGGGACAGACTGCACTGCCTTGGGTAAATGAGTGAAGTGGGCTGAAAGGAATCCCATGAGATCCTACCAAGGGAAGTAGGCGGGGTGGTGGTGGTACAGAAGGGATAATCAAAAGTGCTATTGTAGAATAGGGGCAGGGCAGGATTAACTCTTCTTGGGACCTGGGGTTATAGGATTTTGTGTCGCCTGCTAGGCTGTGGGGTGAGGCCAAAAATAAGGGGTTTAGCGTATGAGAGAGTGCTGTGGGTTGAGGCAGGAAGTAGATGCAAGAGGGGATGAGGAATCCAATTGAGGGTGCAGACTTTAAGGTAGGGTTGGGGATGAGGCATTTGGGGTACAAGAGGGGACTCCCAGTTGGGGTCAATGGGTTTGGAATGCAGGAGCAGGCTCAGGGCAGGAGTTTGGGGTTGGGGTGCAGGGTCTGGACAGGAGTTAGGGTGTGGGAAGGGGTGTTCAAGTGGAGCAGCTCCCGTTTGGTGGCAGGGGAAATTGGTGGCTCCACATGGCTCTGCTCTCCTCCAGGCACAGTCCCCGTCAGCTCCCATTGGCTGCAGTTCCCAGCCAATGGGAGCTTTGAGGGTGGAGCCTTTAGGCAAGTGCAGTGCAGGAAAAGAGCTTCCCAGCACTTGTGGTGATGCAGCTCCAACCTGGGAAGAAACAGCAGCATGTGGAGCTGCACCTCCCCACTCCCCTCCAAGAAGTATTGGCCCAGAACTAAAAATGTAGATAGTCTTTTAAAAATGTAACTGCTAAAAATCCTAGCAACTATACACACCGCGGGCTCTGCAATATAAAGCTTAAAGAAAGCATTTTGGAGAGAATTCAGAGGACAGAAGCTAAAGTGATCAAAGATTTGGAAAATAAGAGCTGTGGGAATGTTCAAGGGGTCTTGGTACTGAGAAGAGATAAGCGAGAGGAGACAGAGACGTACTGGTAGAGTGATGTTATATATGGAGGGCAGGTATCTGCTATCACTAGCTTGTGAGAACAGAATGAGAAGTAACAGACTGAAGATACATTTTCCCAGTTAAATGCAAGGAAAACGTTTAGGAAGAGCAAGTTTCCAAGGGAGGTACGTAATCAGAGACTGGAGGTTACAAATGCCCTGAAAGTAGGGTGAGGGGTTTACAAAAGCCTAATGTTAGCAAGAGAGGGAGGATACCTTCCGTTGTTGTTTGCAGTGTTGCAGCCAAGCTGGTCCCAGGCTGTTAGAGAGGCCCAGTGCATGAGGTGATTCCCTTTATTCTGCAGGTCTGAAGAAGAGCTGTATATAGCTGGAAAGCAGTTTGAGATCCTACCTTAACCCACCTTGCCTCTCTTAAGAGGGTACCCTCCTGTCATGGACACAGCTCAGGCCTACCATGATGCAGGGGAATGGACTAGACCAGTGTTTCTCAACCTTTTTTTTTTTTTTTTTTTTTTTTTTTTTTTTAAAAATACCCTTTTAAAAAATTTTTTTTTTATAAAGTACCCCTTTAAAAAAATAAGTTCCCCCACTACCTACAGTTTTCAGACACACATGATTTTTTTCTACCATTGCAACACATTTGTTTAAACAACTTAGTCGTAGCCGAGTGGGCGATGAAATTTTTGGGTGTAAAAGTACAAAAATAATAAAGTGCTGTAAAACTGAAAACAAAAATTCGGTTTTCTCCAAATGTCAGTTGTGTTGACGTATCCCCCAGACTTCTCTTGAGTACCCCAAGGGTATTCGTACCACTGGTTGAGGAACATTGGACTAGCTGACCCATGTAGGAATCTGCTAACCCCAGTTGGGGTCTCTTCTAGGGCCTACTTTGGTCTGCTAATATGTTTAAAGTATAACAGTAATGTGCACACAGTGATATTACCATGTTAACTAAAGCGTGGCTAACCCATCTCTTTTGCTAGCATGGTCTGCACCCCTCATCTGCTGTGGCATCTTGAGCCAGGAGTCCTGTGGAGGATGACTGATGTTCTACATCTTCCTACTTCATCCCTCTCTTCTCTGTTTTTTGAAAGGTTCAAATGTGGGAGTTGTCCCAGATGTGGCTGCTGCTGCTGTCGCCGTGGGAGAATGCCTTGGTGGGTGATTAGCACCATTCAGTGATGGGCTGTGGGACAAGCAAAGTGCTTCCCGAGCCCCCCACGGACGTTCAGTTGGATCTGGTTAAAAAGGTTGAGCCGTACATCGGTCATCAAAATGACGTGTACAAGCACTTCATCAAGGAGGATGCTGTCAAAGCCGGCTCCCCCTCGCCTCCGCGTCACACCTATCCCTACTCCAGTGGCCACCCACCGAACTACGCAGAGCAGCCTGAGCCCCGCAAGAACAAGGTGGCAAAGTACCGGGCCAAGTTCGACCCCAGGGTGACAGCCAAGTATGATATCAAAGCCCTGATTGGCCGTGGCAGCTTTAGTCGTGTGGTACGGGTAGAGCATAAGGCTACCAAGCAGCCCTTTGCAATCAAGATGATAGAGACCAAGTACCGGGAAGGGAGGGAGGTGTGCGAATCCGAGCTGTGTGTCCTGCGTCGTGTGCGGCACACCAACATCATCCAGCTCATTGAGGTCTTTGAGACGCAGGAGCGAGTCTACATGGTGATGGAGCTGGCCACCGGAGGGGAACTGTTTGATCGAATCATTGCCAAAGGCTCCTTTACTGAGCGAGATGCTACCCGAGTGCTGCAGATGGTGTTGGATGGGGTGAAGTACTTACATACCCTGGGCATCACGCACCGGGACTTAAAACCAGAGAACTTGCTGTATTACCACCCGGGGACGGACTCTAAGATCATGATCACGGACTTTGGGCTGGCAAGCGCTCGGAAGAAAGGAGACGACTGCTTAATGAAAACCACCTGTGGGACACCGGAGTATATTGCCCCAGAAATCTTGGTCAGGAAACCCTACACCAATTCTGTGGACATGTGGGCACTGGGGGTGATCTCGTACATCCTCCTGAGTGGAACGATGCCCTTTGAGGATGACAACCGAACCCGCTTGTACCGGCAGATCCTGAAAGGAAAGTACAGCTACTCAGGGGAGGTGAGTGTGGTAACAGTCACGCAAAGGGGGTCATGCAAAGGGGTCTCCAGACACAGTGTTTTATTCTAACACGGGGACCATGAGTGTTGTGATGGGAACCCTGTGATCATAGGCAGTGCTACCTGGCTGTCTTGAAAGGGGTTTCTTGGCGCTTTTGCTGCATTCAGTAAGTGGTCCATAAGGTGACTTCTGTAACAGGCTCAGGTCAGATTTCGGTACCACAACTGTGTGAGTTGTTCTGGATTTGCCTTGGTTGATTCAAGGCTGGGAATCTTACATAAGTTAGCTCAGTTCTAGTTGCTTTTAGGAATTGGTGGAGTTCTGCAAAACTGGCCCATTAAAAATTCCTCCTGTCCTGCAGGTAGTGTTCTCTCCCAGTTAGCTTTTATCCCACTGAGAACAATGAGTTCTTTTTCAAAACAAAGCAGCCTCCCCCATAACCACCCTGACTGGTACGATGTTTTTCCTAATGTCCAACCTAAATCTCTTCTTCTGCAATTTAAGCCCATTGCTTCTTGACCTTTCCTCAGTAGGGATGTGAATGACTAGTCGACGATCCGACAAGCAAATGCTTATTGCATAGTCGACAGGCTAGTCGACTAGTTGCTTCCCCCTGCTCCCTCCTTGCTGCCTCTGTCAGAAAGCGGCAGCAAGGGTGGGGGGAAGAAGAGGGGGTTCTTCAAAGCGACAGTACCACATGGAGCTCATTCGTGTTGAAACAATGTTCCTGGATTATCCTGAACACTCTGTATCATGGAAAGCTTCTGTATGTAGCTCCACCGTGATTTTTTGTTTTTGCTTGTTGGGAGCCGGGCCAGGGAGGGGTGGAGGTTTTTTTAATTAATTGATTGATGCTTCTCACTTGTGTGTAGCCCCTGGCGGAATGTTCTGTGGGTCATTGGCCCCAGACTGAAATACGTTCCCCACACCTGCTCTAGCTCCTGTTGGATACACGTACAGAAGCTTTCCCAAGATACAGCATGTTCACAGTCATCTCGGCATAATGGCGTCATGTCAGCCAGAACCCACAGACGCCCCTTGTCCCAGCATTATAGGGGGATGAGGGCACCCAGCTATGGAGGCATCCCTGTTTGGAAGTACTCAGGAAGAAAGCAATAATTCATCAGAGACTGCGGTAATAGCGTAACTTTGTGAAGAGGAGCTGAGTGGGAAAGGAAACAGGAGCTAACGCATGACTAAGACTTTCTGAAGCAGGCAGTTGTGGCATGACAGGAAAATAACAATGTCTGAAAAACATCATCATCTCAATTGTTCTGGCATTTTTAGAAATGCGAGGGGGGGTGTTGGCATTTCTGTGATGGATGGAGTGAGTCTCCTAATGGGTAACTCAAATTCAAAAATCTTTTGGGCACTTTCAGAATACTTATGTGGGCACATAAGTCACTCTCCCTAAGGAGGCTTCAGAAGGTATAAGCATGTGTAAGACAGGCCCACGCCAAAAATAACCTTTTATCCTGTCAAGCTATGATCTTCCTAAACTGGCCTGCACCAGCCCTACCACCTGATGCTGCGGTCTGGTCAGATCTTGCCAAGATGGGTGCGAATTTGCACGGGCACCTCCAAGGATGCACTGATGGGACAGTCACTGGTAAGTGGTACTTTTCCTTCTGAGCCACACTACGGAACCATCTTCCAGAATGGAGGATGGCACTGTGCTTTGAGGGGTACCACGTTTCAGATGAGACCGAAAACCAAGAGTCTGGCTTTTGGTGGTCATCTGAGATCCTCTGACACTTTGTCTAAAGTAGAGAGATTCACTCTGTGTCCTGGCATATTTGAAGCACTTTATTATAGCCATCCTGCCGAGAGCGACACGTCTAGGGGAGTAGTCCGTGACTACTTTGTGATTGGGGGTGGGGGGTTGTTCATGAATGCTTTGCCCCCTTGCTGCGTGAGGGTATGTGGTACGCATCAATCAGTAGCCTGTCTGTTGCCCAGCTGGCTTCCTTGTGGAGCCAATGAAAGCGAAAGGTACAAAACTAAACACGTCTTCGTCCCTGAAGTCCAGATAGATCGACTCTAATGCTGCTGTATATTGGTACTGATGTATCAGTGTGCTGCCCAGTGCAAGAGAATGATAGCTGGGTGGAGGGAGAGTGGGCCAAATGTTCAGAGGAGACTGGCAGGTTTCTGAAAGCTCCCTGGATTCGTTCCAAGCCTCAGGCATCCTCGGGGGAGGTGAATGCTCCCGTTTTCCTGGTGTCCTTAGAGAATTGCTTTTCTTTTCCTTTCCTCCTGGAGTAAGGAGGACAAATCTCAGAAATGGGCCTGCTGGTGCCAGTCTCCCAGGAAAGGGACCGGAGCTCCGTTGCTTGTTACATTTAAAGCAAGACAGGACAAAAGGGCTGAGGATCTACTGTAGGGAGCAATCTGCCATAGGCAGAGAATGCAGGGGTGGACTAAACAGGAGCAACCTCATTTTTTTTCTCAAGTCTAACTGCGAGACTGTGAAATGAGGGTGCATTTACCTCAGGGGCAACTCTGGAGAGAGATCTGTACGGTTGTTTGCCAGAGGTTTACAGCTGGAACTGTAACGGAAGGAGAGTTGTCAGTGGTAAGGGATGTTTGGGGGAGAGGAAGGAACTCTATCCTAATCTCAGTCCAGTCAGGGAGGATGAAAATTCATTATTTAAAAAAATATGAATTTTTCTGATTTTTGAATTGGATTTTTAAAAAACATATAAATGAAGTTTTAGGTTTACTTTAAACATGAAATTATGACAGCCTAAGCTAAGGCATCTTTTTATAGTCCATCAGAATAAATGGATTTAAGAAAATATCAAGCAGTACATACATGCTGCCAAGTCTTAAAGTTGCATCTCTGAACTGGTGGAAATTGCTGGCTGAGCATCTGGAATCAGAATTTGTTGATAGCGGGAGTTTCTTCTGCAGGTGCTGAGAGAATATTTTCTTAATTTCAGTTTATTCTGATAGTTCAGTTGAATGGCTAGTTGAATGACTAGTTCAATCAAAGATAAGACACTAATTGTAATTGAAAAAGCAGAACAACTGTTTACTGGTTGATGAATAAACAACACGTGAGAGGAAGAGATCTACTAGTTTGAAAAACTTCAAGGAGACGAAAAATCAGTTCAATAACTATAGATAATGCTTCCTTTATTTAATAAATCAACACATTTTAAACTCAATCGTATTTTGGTAAACTCTTTGGTACTCTCTCTTTTCTTATGTATCAGCACACTTATTTATTTTTAAAATGCTGCTTTTTGTGCATTTTAACTGCATTAAATTTCTATCCAAATAGAGATTGACAAAATCAAAAGTTAAAGTCCTCATCTGTCAAGAAATGCCTCATTTACTATTTTATAGCAATAGTATAGGTGTCCCTGCTATACGTCACCCCAGTATACATCCATTTCGCACTAAAGTCACTGATGTTTGTAAAGGACCTGATGCATTATAAGTCCTCCCATTCCCTGCTCTTAAGTCATGCAAAAAACCTCCACAGCTTGTGCAAATGAAAGTCAGCTGCTGGAAAAAAATTCTCTGCTTTAAGTTGTTTCACTAGAAGTCCAAGTTTTTTGGTACGTATCTTGGACTTTAGGTTGGCCATTAGGAAAAACTTCCTACTTGTCAGGGTGGTTAAACACTGGAATAAATTGTCTAGGGAGGTTAGGAATCTCCATCTCTAGAAATATTTAAGAGCAGGTTAGATAGACATCTATCAGGGATGTGGTCTAGACAGTGCTTGGTCCTGCCATGAGGGCAGGAAACTGGATTCGATGTCCCCTCAAGATCGCTTCCAGTTCTAGTGTTCTATGAGTCTAGGCCTTATAGAGAGGACAGCCTGTTCAAAATGTAAAAATTAAATATCTGAATAAATGTAAGATAAGCTATATAATTTCTTAAGAAATATCTGAATAAATGTAAGATAACCTATATAATTTCTTAAATGTGTATAGTTACAGCATATCTTTCAAGTGAGCAAAAAGTTGCACCAAATTTAGTATCTAAGCTATATTTTGTTGCAAATGATGTTTTAATAGTCACCAGCCAATGAGAATCAACTTTGCTTTAAACAAAAAAATAAAGTACAAATGCAAAACAGGATTAAATTCAGTAATTTAAATCAAGGTTTCTTGCTTACTGATTTAAATCTGCTGGTTTAGATCAGTTGGATTTAAAATCAATCCACCCTGATGGCAGTTGAATTTTGATCACTGTGGCTAACGCCTGGGCTTGGTGAGAATGAAGAAAGGTTGAGGCCCATTTTCTGAGATGTAGTTGTGCTGAGATCCCAGCCAGAGAACACAGAGCTGTGTGAAGAGAGGAATAAAAGCCTGCATGCATGCTGGCCTATGAAGTATTTCCATTTTCTTGACAAGAAATGATCTGACACCCAGCTAATGTGGCTGTTGTCTGAGAGAGAGCTACTTACCGGTGGAGCTCTGTTTCTGAAGCCAGGGGTCTGTTTGAAGAGGCTATTAGCAGATCAATAGTAGAGGTATCCCATAATAGCTCATTCAGGTACTACTGACATCACTGCTCTGATTATCGCTCCAGTCTCCTTTGATAGCTCCTAAACGGTTGGGAGTGATGGGAAGAGGAAGGCGTGGAGTTGAGAGAGGCCTTGGGAAAAGTAACTTGGCAAGTGTCTCTAAGTAAGAGCTGCTGAGCCCATTAAAGTGCTATTGGTGCTGGTTGCCTATTAAACACTCAGCTTGCCTCCTTTTGCATCGCTGGGTTGGTCTCGCTGACTCACTGGAAGACCTGTGAAGTATTCCAGGGGCCACGAGGATCTCTGTGTGGAGTAAAGAACAGGCAGTTTGTTACAGGGCTAGAATTCCATCCAGGGTTTCTGTGATAATGATCTAAACCAGGAGAGCGAGATGAAATCGAGTCTATGCCATTCCAGTTGTGGCCTTTTATTATTAGGGGTGTAAGAAAGTACCTGTTTTAATGGTTAACCAATAAGCATGAGCTTGTCAGTGTCCGTAATGATTACATGCTGATTCCCA